GTTTGCGTCCCCTAATTGGTTAAGATTCCCAGATGTGTATTCGGGACAACAGGAAAAACATTCACAATAAATTATTCCTTTTTTCTTTATACCAGAATCTGTGTAACATCTATTGCTGTGAAGTTTCTTTTCATTTTTATGTAGAAAATAATGGAGCAGGTTGATGGTAGCAGGTTGATGGTAGCAGGTTGATGGAGCAGGTTGATGGAGCAGGTTGATGGTAGCAGGTTGATGGTAGCAGGTTGATGGAGCAGGTTGATGGCAGCAGGTTGATGGAGCAGGTTGATGGTAGCAGGTTGAAGGTAGCAGGTTGATGGTACATGTGCTTTCACCTGTTTTGTTTACTTGACTTTTTCTTTTGTTTGCTGAGTTTCCTCCTTAGTAGAAGTGAGACACCAGTATTACTTAATGGTTTTTCTTTTAGAGCTGGTTTTATGCTATTTCACACTTGGACTACTTTCATTTAACGATCACCCTCATTTTACTTCCTGATTAGTTGGATTCATGCATTGAAATCGTCGTCTCTTTAATGGAAAAGCTTCTTTTGTTGCTCCTGAACTGCTCAGCTAATTTTGCTCTCAGACTGGCCTCGATTTATTTATTTATTTGTTGTGAACATTATCAGTTTTTTAACACAGTATAGGATATAAAATAATTTTAATCAGGTCTGACTTCACAAGATAACACGAGACGTGACTGTGTGCACTTTAAAAAATTATTTCCTTCAAACTGAGACTTTGTTTCCCCCCAATCTTCGTGCAGCGGTTTACTCCAGTATAAAAACACAACAAGATAACACACAAATAGGTCACACTCACTATACGCTCTTATCAAAGATAATTTATTTATTCCTGTCATAGCTGTTGTTTACAAGCTTCATTGTTCACACCACGTGCAAAGGAATGGAAATCCTTTTGTATTATGTGCTGTACCTCCCACTGTGTTAAAGCAGCGGATGAGATTAAGGGCAGAGAAACCAGAGCAGATTGGCCAGACAAAGTTAACCTAGATACGGTACAGACATGTTTGTGTGGCGTCTCTCTTCTTGGCCTAAGTGTGTCTGTGCTTGGCACTTGGGTGCAGCTCTTGTCACCCTGACAGAACAATGGCAGCAGTGTAGAAAAAAACAGTCAATGTTTTTGTGCATGCTGGGTGTTGCTGCCTAATCGGGTTTTTGTATGATATTAATAAATTCTCACTTCATTATTTTATTATTTTTTACATTTATTCCATGTTGTCAGATTAGGTACTATCAAAACTCTTGGCAGTCCTGATCCTTTCCCACAATGAATAAAGCCGATCTCAGGAAATAACTGAACAAATGTCCTGCTCACTTATAGGCAGGGTTTTAATAGTTTTAAATTGTTTTTATTAGTTTTTATTTTTATTTAGTTTTGACTTCAGATTTTCAAATTTGTATCAGTTTTAATTAGTTTTTACCATTTGTTTGCTAGTTTAGTTTAGTTTTTATTTATTTTTTAATCCTTAGTTTCAGTTATAGTTTTAGTCGTGTTTGCAATAATTAAGTGTAACAAAATCCCAGTTTCATCATATCAGTCATGCTCTTCTGCTTATCCTTGGGTATGTTGCTCTTCCAGCTACCATACTGCACCCTGGACAGGTCGCCAGTCTGTCGCTGGGCTAACACGCAGAGACAGACAACTCACATCCCCACCTATGGGAATAAATAAATAAATGAGGGCAGATGAACAACTATTGATAGCAGCAACTATAAAAGATATATCTTGACCCAATGAGACTATTAACTCTTGCAGCTCCGGGTGAAATGCTAAACTTTTTGAAGACTCACACAGTTGTGTAGATATCCCAGTCTCAATAAACATATTCACCAACGCTTCCTCTCGCTTGTGATGTTCCTGCGAACGGACCAACCAGCAGCCATCGCTGTTGGAAGCACTGCGTTAATGTTTTTGTGGAGTTGTCTCGGGATGCTTCACGCTGCCTTGCCCGGAGTTAGCTTCTGTTTCTGGGGATGAGGCTTGGGCGTGCTCCCTTACCTTCTCAAGCTAAGCTAGGTTAGCCTTCTTGTGCGAGCTTTTCAAGTGCACTTTAAGGTTTGCGGGACTTTTTTCCCTTTAGAAATGTCCCGCATAATTTGTCTCTTTCCGCTACAAGACACTTGCTTTATCCAAAACACAGTCATAATCAGAGTAATACGAAATTGGACTCTGGCGATTTCTCCCGACTTTTGCTGACGTGATTCTGCGTGGGAGCAGCGACACAGACGACTCGACTAACGTGCTGCCCCCTGCTGGCACAATGAGACACAGCAAGAAAAAACCTGGAAACTAAACGTCATTTTCACCCGAGACTATTGAAAACTAAACACATTTTTGCTATAAATTCAGTTAATTTTAGTTAGTTTTGTGAACACTCATTACAGTTTCAGTTAGTTTTCCTTTTTTTTTTTTGCAAAAGTCTTGTTTTTATTTTTATTTCCGTTAACGTAAAATGTTTTTTCACCTCTAGTTTTCATTAACGATAATAACCTCGGTTATAGGGAAAAGAATCGATCCCTCTTCTGCTACAATCAGCTGATTTCAATGTGTGCCAGAGGGTATTGTTACAGTCTGCAGCATGGATATTATTTTACAATGGATGGGTACTATTTTATATTATTTTACATGCTTTCTCCTGGGAGTAATTAAGTAACATACACGTCTAATGCATGAGTTTTTTTTACAAGCTAACATTTATTAGAAGAGCTTGTTTTTGACAAACTTCATCAAACCATGCAGCCTGCCTTAAGTCTGAACTGAAAAATGAAGAGATGCAGCCCAATATTTTTGTCCATGGTGCAGACGGGCAGCTGAAATTTGCGACAGTACTAATGTGAAAGACACGGGTTCTCTGGCGACTGCAGCAACATGTTCAGAAGTGAACATGGAAATATTAATAAAGAATCTGTTAAATCATTCCCTGCAGGCCATTTTTAACCAGACCAGAAATGGACCATGAAACCAACAGATGAGTCATCAGCCTCCACATTTCACCCATATGCATGGAATTTGGTGACAATGTGTAATTTGGCACAGTGTGGTGTCTTTTGGCAGATGACTAGATTTGTGTCTGGAGTATAGAAGCCACAGACAGAAGGATTGGGATCAGCTGGTCTTCCTCTGTAAATGTTATCTCCCTGTTTCCTCTCCAGTCAGTCACACAGACTTTCATTCATGATGAGTGTCATCTTTTGTCATTTTGAACAAGAAAAACATCTAACACTGTTTTGAAGTTGTTACATGGCACAATTATATAATCATATCGCTAAACCTTTCTGTTACCTTTGGAAAACAATAAGAAACCTAAAACAGCACATTTAAGTCCGGCCTTTCACATAGTTAAGTCTTACAAATACAAAAACAAACATAGTGGTCTGTGTACAGCATCTATGTTTAATCATTTTGATACGTTTTCAGACACTGCAGCAGCTCTTGGCGGTCCTGAAAACCAGTTACTGGTGCTTTATATGTCCGCGCTGCACTTACTCATCTGTTTAAAGCAACCTTTGAGGCATAAACACAACTGCCAGTGTAAGTGATGCAGTTGTGTGCTGCTTGTCCTCTGTGGAACAACAAAGGTTTCTGTAGAGCAGCACAAATCAGAGCAATGAATGATGGAATTTGATGGGACAGGTCATCTTGTCCAGACTCAGTAAGCTTCAGAAAGAAG